CTTCGTTGGAAGCTTCGCCTTCGATGTCAGCGATGACAATCTCGTCGTCGGCTTCGACCTCCTCTTCAGCGTCAGCGTTGTCGGTCTCGTCGACGTCCTCAGCCACGACAGCGACTGCAGCGTCCTCGACGGTGGTGGCATCGATATCGGTGACGACTTCGTTGGAAACTTCGTCTTCGTTGTCGGCGACGACAATCTCGTCGTCGGCTACGGCCTCGTCGTCGGTGTCAGCGTTGTCGGTTTCCTCGACGTCCTCAGCCACGACAGCGACTTCGGCATCCTCGATGGTGGTGACATCAATGTCGGCGACAACGGCCTCGTCAGCCGCATCGGTGTCATCGTCGTTGGAAACTTCGTTCTCGTTGTTACCGGCATCTCCATTTTTCGAATCGATGTCCTTGTTGCCATCGGTCTCGTTCTTGTTGTCTGCACCCACCGCATCGTCGGTGGTGACACCGATGAGGGTCTCATCCGGGATACTGATTTCAGTAGCCGACGCGATTTGGTCGAGGTGGCGACGATCACCGCGGAGGTGGCGCTTCATCGAGCTAATGGGCTGCGCAACGTTGCGGTGCTCGGGGTGCGCCAGAGTATTCGCGTCTACGTATCAAAGATCAGTCATCGATCGTTGTAACCAAGGGGCATCGTACGCTGGGCGGCACCAAGCGTCTCGTGCAAGACGACGCACATGGCAGCGAGAGTCAACGGGTGGTAAATGCGCATGGTCAAGTAAATGGATTTTGAATTGTGAGAGGCATGAGGAGCGCGGCTGGAGGGTGTTTCAAAACCAGGCAAACGGTGCGTCCCAAAATACTCGTGTCGTCCCGCAAGAAGATGCCGCTCCGCGTTTGGCACACGAGCTACATGGAATGCTTGCCCCCGTGCTAGCGTAGACAGGTCGGAGCGAAACCCCTTGAGAAACGACTGCGAAAGGCGCCAAGTGCAGTGCCTCCCAGATTAGCGACCAATCTGTCTCAAACGAGCCGAGAACGGCACGGCCCAACGGACACCTGGCAAGCAGGAGCCCGTCGTTCTGGGCCATGGATCCGGGCGGCAGCCGAACCCTACAAAGCGCTCCCGTCGTACACTCGCACATCGCGATGGCGGCGGTGTCGTTTTCTATTGCAGTTTGCAGCCAGTCATGCAGAGAGGTGCGGCCGAGAGAAGAGTAGTATCCTATTGAGCTCCTGCATTTGTGTCGAGATACCGCCGCGCACTGTGCATGGCTAGGCGCTTTCAGTGCCACCAACAGCGTCTCAAAGCTCAACCGCCAAACCAGATACGTTAAGAAGTGGTAAATATGGCGTTGCCACAAATAAGCGCGTCGTCGGATCCCACTTCTGGCAAGATGATGCGCTGCACGGTAGTGTGGTGGGCCTCGCTCGCGCTTGCAGCATGGCGCCCGCTGGTCGCCTCGGCGCTTCCGACCGACGAGCGTGAGCTCACGAGATGGACCTTCCGCAATGGCAACGGGTCCATTGCGATCCACAACGCTACGGTCCCCGGGGCATCTCACGTGCATCTTTGGTCGGCAGGCCTCATTCCCGACCCGCACGAGCGCTACAATGAGCGCGCGCTCGCGTGGGTCGCCGCCGAAATGTGGCACTACGAGACGACGTTTGAGCTTCCGGAGCGCCGACCATGCCACCTCCGCGCCGCCACGATCGACGGACCCGCGACGCTCGTTCTCAACGGCGTTCCGGTCGCCGCAACCGCCAATTCGTTCCTAGCGTATGCATTCGACCTCACCGCCTACGTTCGCGCGGGCAGCAACCATCTTTCGTTTGTCTTTGAACCGCCGCTGGCCTACACGGCGCGCCTCGTATGTCCATGCGAGCGCCCTCGAGGTCTCGGCTTCTCACGACTGTAGGCGGCCGCGTATCCGTACTACGTCCCGGCGACAGTCAACCCCAACACGTGGGCAGAGCCAACGCACCGCCCGTTTCTGCGCAAGGCCGGCAGCGACTTTGGCTGGGACTGGGGCCCCGGTACGCTCGCTTCTTTGATACCGGATGTATGATCGACACGTGCCAGCCTTTGTGCCCGTGGGGCTCGCAGGTCCTGTGCATCTCGTGCTGCCGTCCGCTTGCACCGCCCGACTCGACGACTACACGGTCGACCAGACGCACGCGCCCGACATGTCGTCTGCGCATCTGGTGTTCCGTGGCTTTGTCGACGGCTTCTGCAACGATACGGCATTGGCACTGCATGTGCGCCTCGGCAACGCCACGGTCGCCGTGGCCGTCGCTCCATCGACGTTGACGCCGGCGCATCTCGAGGCGACGTACGCTGCATCTGAGCTCGGTCGCCACGACTACATGCATGGTATAGGTACACGCTTCGACACCCAGAGTTATGGTGGCCTAACGGCTACGGGCGTCCACACCTGTACGACGTCGAACTCATCTTGGCGACGACGTCGGGCACCCGCCTCGACGCCCGCCGAGGTCAACTGGGCATCCGCTCCATTGTGCTCGACCAGTCGCCCGCCATTCCGCGCGGCCATCACTTCCGCTTTGTCATCAACGGTCGGCGCATCTTTGTGCGCGGCGCCAACTGGGTGCCCTCCAACGTCTTCCCGACGACGACGATGCACGCCACGCTTGCGCACCTCGTCACGAGTGCAACGACCGTGCACATGAACATGGTACACGCGTGTGGGAGGCGCGGCACCGATGCGCGAGGTGTAGGTGCGCGTCTGGGGCGGTGGCCGGTACGAGTCGGACGCCTTCTACGCCTTCTGCGACGCCCACGGCCTCCTCGTGTGGCAAGAACTCATGTTTGCCTGCGCTGCGTACCCGCGGGACGACTCGTTTCTGGCGACCGTGGCGGACGAAGTGCGGTATCAAGTCCGACGACTGAACAAGTTTACGAGCATCGTGGTCTGGGGCGGCAACAATGAGAACGAGTCGATCATGGACCAGTTTGCCAACGGCTGGTTCCTACCGGACGGCTACGTCTTTAACCGAGACCGCGCCGTCACCGACTATGTCAAGGTATTTGTCGACACGGTGGCGCCCATCGTCCTGGCCGCCGACCCCGGCCGTCCGTTTCTCGACTCGTCACCGTCCAACGGCGTTTTGAGCACGTCTCCGTACGTCAAGCGCTGGGAAAACACGTCCTCGGTCGACGACGGGTACGAAGATGCGCTATGTCTTCATGTCCGCACTCGTCTTGTAGTGACGTCCACTACTACAACATTGTCCGAGACTGCATGGACTGGACGCAGTACCCGGCGGCGCGCTTCGTCTCGGAGTTTGGCTTCCAATCGATGCCGTCGGCGGTGGCGTGGGCGACGGTCACCGACGCAAGCGACTGGGCGACGACCGACGCCATGCGCGCGATGCTCGCCTTTCGCCAACGGTCGCCCAACGGCACCGAGCACATCCAACACCAGCTCGACTTGCAGTTTGCCTCGTTGCCGACGACTGGATCCGTGGCCGAGCGGCTGCGCGCGTACACGTGGCTCACGCAGGTGCAGCAAGGGCTCTGCTACGCGACGGCCATTGGCACGTGGCGGCGTCTCGGGGCGACCGGCGTGCTCTACTGGCAGCTCAACGACGTCTGGGTGGGTCCGAGCTGGTCGAGCATCGACGTTTATGGGCACTGGAAAGCGCTCCATGCGATGGTCATCGCCCCGTTTGCGCCCCAAGCGATTGTTGTCCACGAAGACGCGACCTCGGGAAGTATCTCGGCGACGATCGTGAGCGATGTCAACGCAACCACGTCGGTGCGCGTCTCGCTCTATCGGTTCTCCGCTGCCGCCATCCCGCTACAGGTGCTTGATACAACGGTGGCCGTGGATTCCGAGGTGCGTATAGCGTCCGATCGATGGCTGCTACAGAAGGACCGGATCTCATGGTGCTCCGTAGATGGCGGTGGTGGCGTGGCATGCCGACAACGTGACGGACCTCTTGGCGACCCACGACTGCAACCGCGCGGCGTGCTTCCTCACGGTCGCCAGCCCATCGGTGGACGATGAGGTGTATCACTTTTTTCGACCGTTTAAGGACCTCCCGCTGCTGCCAGCCGTCGTTGTCACGACGGTTGTCGAGGCGAATGCGACGTCGTGGTCGTTCCAAGTCTCTTGCGCGTCGGGTCACCTTGCCTTGTTTGTGACACTCGAGACCGCAGTCGTCGGGCAGTGGAGTGCAAACGTGATGCACCTGCGCCCAGGGAGCTCGCGTCTTGTGGTATTCTGGCCGGCGACGCCGGCGCCACTCGCACCGGTGACGACGACACATCTCTTTGACGCGTACACGCCAACGACCCACGACACGAGTGTTGACTAAGACGTTGTAAAAGTATGAAGTCGATAGGTTGACATGTTGACACAATCGTCTCTTTTTCGTTTGCTCGGAAAGCTTCGTGTAGCACGTCTCCCGTTTTTTTCTAAACGCGGTTCTCGCTGACTTGCAGCTCGGCGCCCTTGGACGACGAGAGGCTAACCTAGACTAACTATGCTGGATACGATGACCTACACTAAGGGCACGGCAAGCCGAGGCAAGTGCAAGTGCGTATGGGCACACGAGTGATGGTACTTGGACTGACACAAGACTGAAGAAGAAGGTGTGGCGCGGCGACAAGGCGCAGCGACACACGTTCGGAGGAGATCTGGTGACGTGGCAGCCGGACGGTTCACCTTGTTCCATTGCCGCATGTCTGCGTCTTCTAATGTGCGGCTTTTCTAGCGTCTTCGGTCACTTTCATGTGATGGCCAGCATCCGCCGCGTTGTATATATTCTCAGAGGTGCGTTCACAACATTGCTGCTCACTGTCGGCGGGAACCTCTTGGCACATGAACGCAGTGGAGCTTGATGCTCAAACGACGAGCTTTGATTGGTCGAATGGTTCGAATTGGACCAATCATAACACACCTTGGATACGATTCTAGCCAATGGCATCGCGCGTCCGAAATGGCAATCTCGTTGCGGACTGGGCACACACCGCAGGAAGCGGCTAGGAAGGACGCCAAGACGTAGATGTATGCAGAGCAGGTGACGTTGAGGCCGCCGGCGTTGATAGTTGGTCCATGACCATCGACTTTGTTCTGCGCTTGAGCAGTTTGCGTAAGCCTCGTCGTCTTCCCCAGCCCGTTGCAAGCCAACACCAGCACATTTTACCGGACGTACATCACGTCCTCTAACCGCGGCCGTGTCTGGTGCCAAGGCAGTCATATTTCCCATACGATTGGTGCTTGTGACGTGCCCCAGCGCGATGGCGGCACCGAGGCACGACACCACGACAAAACGGCCGAGACGCGGGAGCAGCTCTGGGGCCAACACTTTTTTCCTTGTCTCTTGAAGTGTACGTAACTACCGGTATAGCGTGGTTTCCTCACACGAGGATCAAGCCGCGTCGCATTAGTAGTGCATACTGTCTTCTTGCACAAGCGAAAAATCCGTTCACATCAGACGATATATATGTATCAAGTCCACAACTGATACGGTATCTACTTTTTCTTTTGCTTGGAGAGCTTCTTGTGGCGCTTCTTGACGTGCTTGGGAATCTTGGACGCGCGCTTCTCCCGCTTCTCTTCCTTGACGCGGTTCTTATTGGCCTTGAGCTCGGCACGCTCGGCGGCCTTGGCCTGTTCGCGGGCTTCGCGGCGCTCCTGCCGGAACGCCATGCGCTGCTTGTACATCTCTTCCGTCTCTTCTTCGTCCGTCTCTTCGTCATCGTCCGAGTCATCGTCGTCGTCGTCGTCCGAGTCATCATCATCATCGTCGTCGTCGTCCGAGTCGTCGAGCGCATCCATATCGAGCTCGTCGACGTTGAGCAGGTCCATGAGCCGCGGCTGCGACACCTCGAGGCGCGAGATGGCGGCTGACAGCGTCTTCTCCATGCGGCCTTCGGCGTACGCGAGCTGATCGCGCTCCGAGTTGAGCACTTGGCCGAGCGACGACGGGATAAACGTCTGCATAAAGACAGCCTCTTCGACCTGCTGCTCGTTCGTCTTGGTCGTCGGGCGGTCCTCGACCTGCACTTGGATCATATCAAGCATCGCGTCCACCTGCTCGTCGTTGAGCTGCCGGGGGTCCGTGACAAACTCAAAGAGCTCCTTCGTTGACATGGGGTCGAGCCCCTACGCAGCACAAAAAGAACGTGAGATGCGGCATTCCACCACCGCGGACGTACGCTCTTTTGGAAGAAATCAGTGATGTTTTTGCAGTCCTTCCGGAGAAACTCGCTCGCGCACGGGTGCTCGTGCTCGACACTCTGCGAGACATCGATAAAGTAGAGCTTGCTCTGAAAGTAGAGCAAGTTGTACTCGGACAAATCGCCGTGCACGAGCTTGCACACTTGGTACATAACGCGCATCGTCTTGACGCACGAGATGTACACGGAGCGCAGCTGCGACTCGGAGAGACGCGCGTCCTTGAGGCGCGGTGCCGCCCACCCGTCAATGCCAATGAACGTCATAAGCAGCACGTGCGACCGCAGCATGATCGGGTCCGGGCAGTGAATACCGGCGTCCTTGAGGCGCTTCAAGTTGCGCATCTCCTTTTCGGCCCAAAGCTTGACCATCTTGCGCGGGTTCGACTTGCAGTAGCCGTGGCGGAAGCGGAACTCGCCCGAGACGTACTTGTCGCGGTCCTTGAAGACGAGGATCGCGGTCTTGTAGACCTTGATCGCGCCCGAGACGTACTTGTCGCGGTCCTTGAAGACGAGGATCGCCGTCTTGTAGACCTTGATCGCGCCTTCGCCGCCGGCGCCGAGGCGCGCGTGGTACACGTTGGCCTCCTTGCCTGTCGAGAGACAGCCGTTGATCTCGGTCACAACGCCTTGGTTGAGCATGCGGTAGAGCATCATGCGCGTGCGCGGGTCGAGCACCTGCTCGGACGTGGCGCGGTCATCGCGGCCCGTGTGCTTGATGCGGCCGCTCTCTTCGTTGCGGAGCGACTGCGCGAGCTGGTTGGACGCCGACTTCGAGAGCTTCCCTTCGTACTCCATCACGGCAAATTGCACTTTCCACCAACCAGTGTACACTTCCAATCACCCACGCGCCAATCAGCGTCGAGATACTTTCAACATGCATATTTTAAAGCGGATCAAATATGAAAGGTTCACTCTCTCCCCATCGTGCCAAGTGTGCAAGGCAGAAGCGTCGGCATGGCATGGCGTGGGTTTTAATGCTACGACGGACGCATTCGCACACCAGACGGACTTGTATACAGCGAGAGTGCTGGGCCACGGTTGTAGTGCGGCAGCGATTCAGTCCTCCGTTCTCGCTCTGTAGATTCTCTTGTCAATGAAAGTTGGGTTGGAACATTTCGTCAAGCTACACGTGTACGTGCCAGACCATAGCCCTGGTCATATCTTCAAAGAAACAAGGTCGTAAGTGGAGCACCAACCCTCGATCGCTGCTCCCTAAAAGTACCCGCTTTCATTCAGCCATAAGAATTGAGAGGCTTCGTCCGCAATGGCGCTCCACAACAGCTACCTGTTAGGGTCCCTTGCTAAAAAAGTTGCGGCTCCATTTGGCTTGATCTTTGCTGCTGCGAATGAACCTAGTATGTTGTGTCTACTGGTACTGCAGTCAATAGCTCCTGGTCTCTGATGCAGTCATTCACAGGGCGCGATAGGCATCGAGGAGAGCGCGTCGTTCGATCCCCATGGCGTCCTGCAGCAAAGTGCCACGAAGAGAATGGGTGGCATCAATACTGTTCATTGATACTACATAAATATTGCGTAGTAGATACCAACAGAAAGGTTGTGTCAAGCGTGTACGGGGCGGTAGCTGCTATCTGGGAAGATCTTGCTTGCGGCACTGCATATAACGCTTGCGAAGGGCTGTCTAGATGCGGAGGTACACCTGCGTCGACTGGAGCTGGCTCATACCGACGTCGAGAGCGGTATCGAGCATCCACGCGCCGAGCGACGAAGCGTCTTTCACTTGGTGCAGCGCGTCGTCGGACGAGATCCACTGATGGTCGATGCTTTCGGCCACCGGCGCCTCAATAGAGGGGGTACCAAACTGCATCGGCGAGGTCGCATGGACGTCAAAGGCAATGGGCGAGTTCATGGCAAGTTGGAAAATTGAAAAATGAGCCATCGCAACCAAATGCATCGCAACAATCAGCGCAAACACATCGCCTTCGTCCACGCCATCTCGATACACCGATACCTTGATACTATCCAAATACCGATACAAATGGCAAGATTCCAGGGATGCATCAATCTATCAGCCGTGTGTCGCTAAGGGAGCGCCGGTCGTCACACACTCCTCATGCCTTGGATGCGTCGAGGAGGCGATACATCCTACACGAACTGTGGGAAATCAAGTGCACAAAAGTACTGGGTTCGCGCTCCCACTTGCTTCTATGCGTTCCCACTCCGCCCCTTGCTGCTGGATGGTCCTGCGACACTTTGTATCAAGTGCAATATGGCCGTGTCCATGCAAATACTTGTGTGCAATGTCGGACATGCACTCTAGGTTGCTGCCTCGCGCCGAGACCTACCGCTGCACATCCTGAATGACAGAGCTAATAATCGTGCCCTGTGTACAAGCGCAGGAGCGAGCGCGACGGAAGCGTAGTGGTGCGCTGGAGCATGTTCGTGGCGCCAGCCTTGGCTCAACGACATGGCTGATCAATAGTATCGTCGTCGTCCTACAAGTAGATGCACTCCAAGAAAACAGTCCAGTGGATCGCTACCTGGTCCAACGGCAGTCTCGACCGAGTGCTGGACCGAGCTATAAAGAGGTTATCAGCACATGGAATGGAAGGTCGATGTAAGCCCACGTCGCATCGAACGCGCAGCCTGAATTCAAGCAGCTGCGTACACCCATGGCGAGTCCATCTACGGTACGCGCGCTCTTTGGTCGGAAGCGCCGCCAGCGTGCAGTCGGCAGGACGATTATCCACAACAACACATATCCATCTTATCATTGACGTAATATGCTGCAATAAATACAACCTTGCGCAGCGCTCAGTCGTCGTTGACGGTCGCCTTCGTGGCCTTTGGTCGATGTGACGTGGTGGCTGCCGTCGGCGACAGCGGCGCAGAGCTCGACACGCCCGTGTCGGTGGCGAGCTTCTGGTGGTACGCATCTAGCATCTCAAGCTGCCGCATCTCGTCGTCGTTGAAGTCCTCGATCGTCGTCGAGGCCTCCAGGCGGTGCAGCTCATCGTCGTCGTCGCTGTCCAGCGTGCGTCCGAGGGCAAACTCTTTCTCCTCCATCTCGAGGTCCTTGCTGATGGCCTCGTACTGGGACTTGTGCTTGCGCCCGCAGCAGCATCGGCAGAGGATGCAGAAGAGGAAGATAAGGACCGCGCTCGTCCCGGCTGCAACGCCAGCCAGCGCCCACGTCGGCAGCTCCTCGGCGCGGGCGCGGACCTGCGCTTCGACGTCGTCCCAGGTCGTCATCCACTCAGTCGTGCCAGGAAACCAAGATGTCTCCGCAGCGCCACGTTCTGAGATTGTTTATTTTATCATTGGATCGCTGTATTCACAATCCCAAGCATCGATTTTATTAAATTTGGCCTCGTACGGAATGTACGCTTCTCTCGTACGTTTATGCATACACATCACAAGAACAACAAGCGTACGAGACGGCATCGTACATTACGTACGCTTCAACATTACATCCCAAATGTCGCGCTGGTGATTGGCTGAAACGAAGATTTGATCGAGTTTGTTACACGACGCTGTTTAAAACACGATCTTGTCTTTATCGCCGTGTGGGGACAATAGGCGCCGGATCTTGGTCGCGCATTGGCGGCCAGGCGCTGCTTCATTGGCGTCCATACTCCACTAAGGATCATCCTTCATGCAGTCATTTCAATCCAGCATTGAAACTCGTGTATTTTACACTGTACAACACGGCCAGCCATTTCTACACTACAACTTGCCTTGCTTGGTCCCCGTGCACCCGCCGGAGTCGTGTTGCAAAGATACCACAGTAGGCGCAGTATAGGGTAGCTTGAGGGCACGGCTGGGCGCCGTCTCGGCGGCAAACGACCCGTTGCCCGCGTCGGCATGGGCGTAACGCACGCCGCCCATTTTGTCACGCTCGCCGCTGCACACGCCTCGGCAGGCCGCGCGGCGCTTACCACTCAAAGCCCCTCGACGGTCTTCATGGGCGGCTGCTGTACGTGCCCTCTCTAACGTTCAGCATGCTCGCGTGCACCGCGTTGGCGCCGACGGCTGGTGGTTCCGAAAGCCCGAAAGATCGCGTGTATGAAATCGAAAGCAACAGTGTATAAAACAAATCCCAGTCAATTTGGCCTCTTTCCCCATTCGAGCATTTTCGTCGTGTTGGCTGCATCATGAGTCAGTTTGTCCGTGCGTCCAAGTACCGCCATGTGTACATGGAGCCTGCGAAGATCGAGAAGAGCTACACCAACCTGCGCCTGGCGACGGCAACGGGCGAGCAGAACTACATCAAGGGCAACACCAAGTTCTTCGCCGTGGCCATCCAGGCCGGCGGCGGCGCGTTCGCGGTCGTGCCCTACGAGAAGGTCGGCAAGTTCGATCCGGACTTCCCGCTCATTGGCGGCCACCGTGGCGCGATCATGGACTTTGACTTTAACCCGTTCCACGAGCACCTCATTGCGTCGGCGTCCGACGATACGACGTTGAAGGTGTGGGGCATCCCGGAAGGCGGCCTCACCGAGACGATGACCGAGCCGCTCGTCGACTTGACGGGCCACGGCCGCAAGGTCACGCTCACGTACTTCCACCCGACGGCCTCGAACGTCTTGGCCTCGACGTCGGCGGATTACACCGTGCGCCTCTGGGACATTGAGAAGGGGTCGCAAATCGTCAACATGGAGCACAACACGGAGAACCTCGTCCAGGACATGGCGTGGAACTGGACGGGCTCGACGCTCGCGACGACGTGCAAGGACAAGGTCGTGCGTCTCTACGATGCGCGCTCGGGCCAGGTCTCGGCGCAGAAGGAGAACGCGCACGAGGGCAGCAAGAGTGTCAAGCTCACGTTCCTCGGCGAGAAGGACCTCTTTGCGACCGTTGGCTTTAGCCGCCAGTCGCAGCGCCGCCTCAAGGTCTGGGACCCGCGCAAGCTCGATAAGGAGCTCAAGAAGATTGACATTGACCAAGCCGCGGGTGTCATCATGCCCTTCTTCGACGCCGACACCAACATCTTGTACTTGTGCGGCAAGGGCGACGGCAACATCCGCTACTATGAAATGAACGACGCCGACCCGTTTGCGTACCCGCTCAACGAGTACCGGTCGACGGTCGCTGCCCGTGGTATGGCCATGATCCCCAAGCGTGGCTGCGACATCATGTCGTGCGAGACGACGCGCCTCCTCAAGCTCACGACGAACGCGGTCGAGCCCCTCCACGTGTACGTGCCGCGCAAGTCGGACGCGTTCCAGGACGACATCTACCCGGACACGTACGCCGGCGTGCCGTCGCACACGGCCGACGAGTGGCTCGCGGGCTCGGAGAAGGGCCCCGTGCTCAGCTCGCTCAACCCGCGCACGTTTGGCGAGATCACGTCGCACGGCAAGGAAGGCACGGCCGCGGCCCGCCCGACGCGCGTCACGCGGACGCCGTCCTCGGGTACCTCGGCGCCGCCTGCCCCCGCGGCGTCGGGCAAGTCGGCGTCGGCGCTGCAAGCCGAGCTCGACGCGGCCAACGCACGCATCGCGGAACTCGAAGCCAAGTTGACGGCGGCCAACATCGACTTTTAGACGAGGAAATTTAATGCTAATGAAAAACAGGTGCGGCTGCATCGACATCACAGCGCGTCCCTCAGCGATGCTCGTAGCAATGCCAGTACACGTGTGGTCCTTCTGTCCACCAACAGTAACAGCAGCTTGATCCAAAGCGTACCCTACCCCTTCTGTAGCCAGCAAGTGCCACGTCATCGGCCCGATCCAAACACGCAGAGAGAACGAACGGAAGAGAGGTGTGGCCGATGGTCTAATATTCGATATGCGGTTAGAAGACGAGCCGGTTGGCGTCAAACGTCCAGGATAGAATGTCGTGCACCTGCCACGTCGCGGCGCCTGTCGCGGCCGTAAACCCGACGTAGGCGCGCCCGCCCATGCCCAGCTGCAAGGTCGCATCGAGGTGCAGCGGTACGCTCAGTACGTCGAGACCGTCGATCGTAATCAAGAGGCACCCGAGGCCGAGCGTGCACCAGTGCGGGAGCAGCTGCGAGACGTACGCCGACGGTTGAAAGTGATGCGCAAACGCCCTAGCCCATATAAGTCTCTTTGTCTTGTCTCAAAAGCGTTGGCAACATGTCGGTCGAGAGCAGCGGCATGTACGTGATGGTCACGACATGGCTACCATCCGTGAGATCCGGGATCCTACAGCGCGTTGGAGCGTGACCCAGTGGCGCCGAGAATGTAATACGCTGTCGTGGCGCCGAGCGG